GGAGGGGGAGAGGAGGTTTGATGGTGAGGTGGAGGTCGACCAGCAGCAGCAGCAGCAGCAGCAACCACATCAATGGGGGGAGCAGGTTTCCGGGTTTGTGAGCTCGCAGGGTCAGGGGCAGGGTCAGAGGGGTACCTTGTTGGGATTGGGGGGGTTGAGGCGCGGGATCGAGGAAGAGCCCAGGGAGCATCGGATCGCGCGGGCGATTGTGAATGATTGTCTGGAGAGGGGGGATGATAGTGTGGACTTGAGGTGAGTTTCTGCCCCAGAGTCTCGTCTCCACATGGTATGAACACCACTAACAACAAACAGCGGCGGAAACCTCCGCAGCATCCCGTCCGGCCTGCTTCGTCCGCTGCAGCACCTCACCAAACTCCCCGCCATCAAGGAACCCCCCGTCACCGAAGACGTCTACACCTCGCTCGAGCCGTTCCTGCGGCTGTTCCTCGCCGGGAACGCCCTGCCCAAGCTGTGCGGCGAGCTCTTCGAGCTGGACACGCTGCGCGTCCTGAGCCTGCGCAACAACAAGCTCGCCGAGATCCCGACCGCGATCCGCCGCCTGACCATGCTGCAGGAGGTCAATCTGTCCGTCAACCGGCTGCGCAGCCTCCCCTGGGAGCTGCTGTGGTTGATTCGCAAAGGCGACCTGAAGCATCTCACCGTGCGGCCGAATCCGCTCCTACAGATCGACGACGGAGCCCACGACCCCGAGGCCGCCGTGGCCGAGTGGCACGTCCCCCGCGAGGCGCTGCGGGCGTGCGTCTACGAGGGCCCCGCGCCCGAGCAAGCCTGGGCCCCCGTGCATGTCGCAACCGGCCCCGTCCGCCGCTACAATGCCGAAGGCGTGCTGGCCGGCAGCAGCAGCAGCAGTAGCACCAGCAGCAGCGCCAGCTCGCAGCCAACAGCAATGGAGCTCGATGCCGCCACCGACACCAACACCGACCCCGACACCAAGCCCCAAGACCGCCCATGCCCAGCACCCCTCCCTCCAGCTGCCTCGCGCGTCCCCTCCCTCCGCGAAGTCGCCCTCCTCTCGCTCACGCGCTCCCCGTCCTTCGATCTCCTCTCCGACGCCGAGCTGGCCGGCTACCCGGCTTTGATGCTGCGGCTGCTGCGCGACGCAAGGGAGGTGCGCGCCGCCGGCGGCCGCAGCTGCTCCGTGTGTCACCGCGGGTTCGTGCTCGCGCGCACCGAGTGGATCGAGTGGTGGGACTGCAGCACGTACGAGAACGGGTTGAAGGGCCCGCGGCCGTCCGGGGAGGGGCTTCGGCCGTTACCCTTCCGGCGGTTGGGGTGTAGTTGGGGGTGTGTGCCGGGGGCTGAAATCTGAGGGGGTGTGTGCGTGTGTGCTGAGATCTCAGATTTGAGGGGGAGTGCCGCTGCTGGGGGCTGTATATCCCGTGCACGGTTCAAGGGTTTCTGTGATGGTTTGGGGAGTGGCGGGGTGTATGTATTGTACATTTTGTATCATCTATGGCATATACTTAGACCATTGGCTGTCGGCCTATGGGGCAGGATGTAGCGAGTTTGACTGGTATTGGTGTGTTTGAGCATGTTGTTTGTGTTTGTGCTTTGCTCATTTGCATGTTTGCAGGATGTTTTAATGTGGATGTGGGTGTGGTTTCTTATTGACCAGCTTTGACATGTAGTCACATTCTACTGGTGGCGTGTTCGTTTCTGGAATGAATTGACGAAGATATGGATATTAGAATCTAGAGAGTCAAGGGAGTCCGACTGCCTGGCGGGAATTACTCCCACGACCACGACCACGAGCACGACTCTTTTCGCTCACGCTTATATTGCAGACAATTCAGTGTATTATCTCTCTCCGCAAGCAACAAGACAAGCATCCACACCGAATACCTCCAGGACCCCAGCCGTCAAATCTACAACTTCCCCCTCCCCCTCCCCATACCCTTGGGCCTCTCCTCCCCCAAATCCCCCACCGAAGCCTCGAACCCCTCCTCCGAAGCCCTCACCATCTCGCCCCCCTCCGACTTCTTCGACCGATAACCGCCCCAAAACCGCTCCTCCGCCTCATACCTCGCGAACCAACCGCCCAACCACCGCGCCATCCTCTCCGCGCACCACCCCACCTCCTCGACAACCAACATATGCGACCCCGACCCCAGCACCGCCTTCTCCACCTTCCCCTCCCTGAATCCCCCACTCCCGCCCTTCCCGGACCCCGTCAACCGGAGTTTCTTGTCCTGCTCCGCCGGCGGCGAGAGATAGCTCCGGCCCCCAAACACCCAGAGCACGCTGGGCCGCACGAAGGGGAGATTACGCATGCTGATCTGGCACTCCGGGCGGGAGACCCTGAAGGGCCGCTCGAATTCGCTGTCCCAGTCCGGGAGGAGGAGGGGGTCGAGGTTTGCGGCGGCGGGCTCGAGGTTCGGGACGCTGTAGCTCCATGCTTCGTGGTGCTTGGTGGTTGTTAGGGTCACTGCTTTCGTCGGGGTGGGTGGCGGGGTTTGGGCGTTTTCTGTGGCGTTGCTGCTGTTGTTGCTGTTGTCTCCCGGGGTTGAGGGCGTGGTGGTCGCAGGATACAGCCGGGTCGGAAGCTCGCGCAGCCCGAAGTGGAGGTACCGGGATGCGGCGCGGGGGTCCCAGCGGCGCAGCAGGGACTTGCGGAGGGCGGATTCGGCGGCGGCGCGCGAGGGCCACAGGTCTTTGCGGAGGGCGGCGGAGCGGGACGGGTTGGGGTTGGGGCTGCGGCCCGCGGTGCGGCTGGCGAAGTCGAGGATGACGGGTTCGATGAGGATGAGGGTCGAGAGGAGGCGTGGGTGCATGATCGAGAGTTGGACTCTGTTTTTTTGGTTGGTTGGTTGTCAGAGGAGTGGTCTTTGGTGACGTTTGACGTTTGGGGAGAATAGCGTACAGCTGCGCACATCCCATGCTATGGGCGACTCCGATCATCGGTCGGGTCATTTCCTCGCGGAAGTGGTTAACCATGTATAGGAGGTCGCGGGAGTGGTCGAACCAGTTTGCTGTTCCGGTTGTGTTAGGCTTTGATGATATCGCGGGGGTTAGGAGGGGGGAGGCGGGCTTACTCTGATCGCCCTGGATATCCTCGTTCAGGACACCGCTGGCGCCCTGGTTCGAGACGTCGGCGACCCAGATGGCCCGTAGCGGGATGGAGTGTTGCTTCAGCTGGGCATAGAGGTCTTCCCATAGTGGCTCGTAGATTTCCTGGGCTTTATGATCAGGACGCCATTCTTTAAAGGTCTGCTAGACTGACTTACTTTGGGAAAGCCTGTGCCGTGCGCCCCGATAATCGTGACAGCATGCTCGGGGATCGGGCCGGGTCGGTCGACAGGGATGTATTGTTTGATGGCGAGTCGGAGAGCGGTCTCTTGACGGCCTTTGATGGCGTGGTGGTGATCGCGAATATGCTGACCGGGGATCGAGTGCTCAATAATGTGAAATGGACTGGTCTCCATGATGCTTAGTGTTAACTTGGAGGTTGAGATGTTTTAGTGGTGGTGGTGGTGAGCTCTGGGGATGTGGAGTAAAAGGAAAGCTTGAGTGCGGGTGCGGGGGAGGTTCCAGTGCGGAGTTCCAGCGCCCTTTCGGGTTGATTTCCCCATTGTTACTGCAAGTGACAAGCTGACTGACTAGTGCTGATCTCAGCTGATTCCTGTTCACATGAATTTCCAGTGACACCATCCACGCTGCACTCTACAAGGGATACATTTTTACACAAATTGACATGTGATGATGAGTAAAATTTCGACCCTCCATTCTTATTTTCGCATTGTCAGATTACTTGCTGACCTACTCCGACCCAAACAGTGCCGCGATTTCATCCTCGTACAGGCTGAGAGTCTGCAATCGGGCTACGCTACCCTTGATCGTACGCACAAAAGGCTTGTCCTTGCGCGCAATTATGATCCGGTCCGCCGAGATTTTGACACAGTCATGCACATGTGCATTGACCTTTTCGAAATACGGATGTAGACTTTCAAGCAGAGACTGATGATCATTACCCACCTCCGCCTCGGGGAAGAACTCGACAATGAGCACAGGCGCTGGACGACCGTGGCCACCGATCAAAGCCGACTTCACGCCCGGGTGGGCTTCAACCTCAGGCTCCAACAGCGAGGCATGCAGCCCGTCCGCGTGTGCGAGAGCCACGTAATCGTCGGTACGCCCGATGATCTTCCACGAGCCTTTGTGCTCAGGGTGCCCAACCCACAGATCCTTGGTCTCGAAGCGATCTCTGTCCGGGTACGCAGAGAATATCTGCTGCATAGCACATTCTGGTCGCCGAACGAACACTAGCTCATGTAGATTATTGAAACGATGCTCGAACTCGGCGCCTGCGTGTTTCTGGAAGGTGATGTAGTCCCACGGGCGGTCCTTGTCTTGGACTGTGGTGAAATAGCCCCCTGCCTCGGTGCTGCCTATACAGGGCACTAGATGAGTATATGGAGCCAGTTGTGCGCCGGCTTTGGCAGAAAGAGGCGCCCCGGCAAAGTGCACATATTTGAGGTTGCGTAGAGCCTCCAGTCCAGATGGTATGAGACAAAGCTCATCGATGAGAGCGGGAGTGAGCAAGGCTCCATCCACTCGACCATAACGCAGGATGTCTGCAACAACCTGGGGTGAAGGGGGAACCGAAGGACCCACGACCGCGACCATATGAACGAAGGAGGTCATAGACAGGGTCATCACCGTACCCACAAACTAGAATAGTCAGTACTCCGCGCGAGAAAGTAGACCCACGAGTTCTAGACACACATGAAGCGAAGGTAGCGGCGTGTACCACCGTTGAAGAGCATATTGATGCACGTGAGTATACTCGATGTCCGGGAGAGATGCAGCAATGTCTGGACTCGTCATCATCCGATGGGTATACGTAATGGGTTTGGGGAAGCCTAACTCAAGCTTGTCAGCAGGCAGTGTACCAGAAGTGGTCATAGCCCACGGAGGATGAATGTCTACCTGTTGTGCCGGACGTATGAAAGACAATCCACGGGTCATCCTTTCCCCCCTCCCAAGTCTTAGCATACGTATACGGCGCCGCCTCAGCATCCTGCAAGAAGTCGCCGAGCTCAGGGACCGTCAAAGCCTGAATCTCAGGTGTCTCCCGAAGAATAGCCGCAACATGGTCTGCCATGGATGCAGGTCGCAAATATACCGTGCAGTTCTTCTGCCGGAAGATACGTAGTTGAGCCTCGGGCGTGATGAGGGGAGAAGGAAGTACGATCTGTAGAACAACATCAACGTCACTTCCTTGTGGGCAAGAGAAATCCAGGGCAACAGACCACTTTCTGTAACTTGGCCGCGGCAACAGCAAGAATGGGATAGCGAAAGTCCTTGGGTCCCGCATAGGCAAAGCATTGAAATAGCCCTGTTGTGGCAGGCAGATTCTGGTGAAGCCAATGGGCGGCGTGGTTGACTGCGTTGTTCAGTTGTTGGAAGCTGATTTCTCGAAAGCCCCGCGAGAGATCGGCATCGTCGATGGGGACTGACACCCACGGGCTGTTGGGTTCGTTCTTTGCACGGTTCTCCACGACGCTAGCGAGAATTCGTTGGCCGTGTTGGATACCTGGCAGAGGAAATGGTGATTTTGGTTGCTCCATGGTGATGTTTCTTGGGGTTGAGAGAGATGGGGAAGAAAGTGGGTGGAGGGGAAGGGGAAAGAGAAGTTGTGGGAGAGAGAGTGAGGGGAAGAGCAGAATGGCATCCCGGTGATCAGCTGCAAGGGAGTGTGTCGCACAAGGACTTTCCTCTATACATGTACTCGATTTTAGCGATGTTTATGGAGCAACATGATGTAGTTAATCCAATCAGTCGAACATGCTTGTCTCCTCTTCGTTGAATTTGGCCAAATCCGCTAGATAATCCAGTGAGACTTTGTGGTCCGACCGAGGCATGAGGAGAATGGTCTGAAAAGAAGCTCAGTGTCCTGTAGCATAGCACAGCTGGAACAACCCAAATCAGACTGACTGTGTTATGAAATGGAGACAATAGAGAGTGGTCATGTTTCTTTCTTCATCAATTCCCCATCAATTGACTTTCAATTGACTTCAATTGAATCTTTGTGTCAATGGCAAAGACAAGATAGACAATGCCGGTAGATTTCAGGCAAGTAGGATCTACACAAACATTCAAGGCCGAGATACTCGAAGTCAAAACAATGCCATTGTTCTCAAGTCACGAACAAAGCCGCTGTAGACACAGATCACCTTATATAGCCTCGAAACAGGATCCTGCCCCGGACTCGCAAGACGATCTAACCCAAGGTTGCCGATACTCCACGCCTTGACCCTCGTTCAAAATGTGCTCCACTATGTCTCGATTCACCACCATCAAGAGTCTTTACGACCAGGCTCAGATCTGCGACGCAATGCTCCAGGAGCTGGTCAGCCACCGGGTGCAGAGAACCCTTTCGTTCGCGGACGTCCACAACACATTCCGCCGCTTCGTCAAGGAATCTCGCTTCCTGACGAGCAAGAAAGCATCGGTGAGATACCAGGCCAAGCACCCGACAACCATGGATCTATTCACCTATCTGTTCAGGCTCATCCGCGTCAACCTGCTGGTGCTTTTGGTTAGGAAAGCCCCGCGGGTCACCTTTCTGGAGAACGTGTACAACTTCATCAACAAGATGCGGGTGCATCTGCTCACCTCCGATGCGCGGAGCAAAAAAGGGCACGGCGGCAAAAGCAAACATCGCCTCCGGAAGCACGAGGAGGACCCTTCCATGTTCTCAGTGTTGGATGCCGACAACAACGACGTGACGTCTCGATTCAAGGACTTCGTGTTCCGCATCATCAAGCAGATGTTTCCCTGCGTCGACTCCAAGCTTCACGCTCGGATCGGGACAAGGCTGGTCGACAGCCGCATCGCCATTGGGTATCACCAGCACAAACATCGCCGGGGGTCGAGTAGCAAGCGGAAGACTGTTCGGGAAAGAAAGCAGCCACTGCGGGACATGCCCGACGTATTCGCGTGGCCCCCAATGCCGCGATGCAAGGACGGTGAGCCCGAGTTCCGATGCCCCTACTGCATGGTCTACTTCCCCGTCGGGGACTTCGATGAGGTCCGGTGGGAGGATCATGTTCTGCAAGACGTGCGACCCTACCTGTGCCTCTGGGGCTCGTGCTCCAGCGTTTTCGGCAGCATGAAGGCATGGATCAAGCACATGGACGACCACCGACGCGCAAGCGCGGCTGGGCAAGCTCATCCACTCAAGCAGTGTCCCTTCTGTGGTCTCCGTGAGGAAGATCACGGCTCTGGGGGGCACGGGAACGGGGGCCTCTTGCGGCATATTGCGGGCCACCTCGACTACCTGGCTCTGCTTGCTCTCCCCGGGCCAATGGATACGCTCTTGGAGATGCACCTTCAAGGAAGGAGGATCGGCATCGAGCAGTACGAGCATGCCGATGACGCCAGAGGGAGGCAACGCAGCCGCAGCGACCTGGCTGCATTGGCCTCGGCTATGGGCGATGTAAGTTCTCGTAGTCCTAGCCCTCTACGGATCCGTGATAGAGATTCTATGATGGTGGAACTTGACCGCAGCTCGGTCCGTGGAGGAGACCCGGAAGGAAATCCGGAAGGAGAACACCACGGTGAACAGGAGCCTGGTGCAGAGTATGAAAGGAACCCTTTCAGGGATCCGACAGAAGATGAGTCCTCAGATGAGGAACCCGAAGACCATCCCGATCTGCATTCCGACGAAGAAGACCTTGCGGACAACGAAGAAGAGGAACATCATGACGATCGGCCAGAAGAGGAGGCTGTAGACCCCCCTGGAGAAAATCCTCTAGAAGCGCAGGAAGAGCGCTCCCACTCCCCGGAAGAGGTCCTGGAAGATCAACCTGATGCAGACCCAGACCCCTCTGAGATTAACCCAGAGGCGGACCAGGAAGAAGAATGTGAAGGCTCTGGCGCTGAAGAGCAGGACCGAGCGAGTAAGCCTGATGATGATGATGATTATGATCCTGAGGCAGGACCTCAAGGAACGCATGACGATAGCCGTCGGAAGAGCCGGGGAAGTAAGATACCCAAGCTCAAAAAGAGCCCTTCGCCTGAGGACGAAACAAGGGGGAGAAGAAGCGGCTCGCGAATGCCACAAAGGGTGTCTTTCCCCATACAAACCGGTCCCTACAAAAGTCTGTTTAATTAGATAGCGAGCCAAATTGAGAACGCATTATGTTTTTTCTGTTCTTTGTCATTACTTACCATCAACTAGCTAAGTACTAAAAATGCCTGAAACCGTTGAGTGTGTTTTCTTATTCGGCTGTGTACGAGCAACTGCCCCTATCTGTAGGACGAGGAACTTCGCCATGGGTTGATTAATATTAGCCCACAGGTACAGGACAAGGCGATCAATGGAACATAAATCAATGGGAAGCATGAGTTCCACTCCAGTAAGCTCATGGCCAGGTCATTACATTCCATTCAGAAAGTAAAATCCTAGTTCACTCATACT